ACGGACGACGCACGACGGACGACGCACGCCGCACGACGGGCGACGCACGACGGAAAATGGCACGTTTGGAAATGGTAAATGGCAAAATTGGGACACAACAAAAAGCAAAATGTGACGGACGACGGGCGACAGCAGATATGGAATTCCATAGGAAAGTGTACATCCCCTAACTCACACCTTTTGACCAGTGAGGTAAAGGAACTTGGAACACAGTCCGGCAGTGCGTTTCGTTTTGTTTTTTTTTCCTGACGTCATTATAATTCAATTTTAAGTTCTCTACGTGATATCATCCACCCGCAATTATTTCCCGTTGTATATTGCAGCGGTTTTCGGCATTGTTGATTTCACGTGCGTCACCAAGCCTCGTATTGATATCAACAATGAAAACACGTTCATCGCAGGCTATTTGCACGGCAATGGCAGGACGCTCTCGTTCATTCGAGTTATAGACACCTACACCAGTGTGGAGAAAGGATCTTTAAAGTTACCATCTCAAGCGAAGGAAAAGAAAGATAGGCCTACTGCTCAGGAAGGTGAAACCATCTCTATTCGGCGTATGCCTGCGTCTGACACTAAACAAAGGATTGGAGCGTTTGCTTGTAAAGCTACTAAAACTCCGGGTGATGTCACAACTATACAAACCATCATCATGAGTAAAAATGGTATGTTTAGAAATAAAGTTTATCCCTACAAGAGTGGTCGGGGCGCAACATTTTATTGTTATTGTGCTTTTTATTCCAAAGGAGAGCCTTCATTGGGTTTTTTCCAGTAATGTATTACGGTCATTTTGACTCCAGCATAATTCTCCGGGACAGGTCAGCCGAAATTGTATAATTTTCCATTTACAAATTCATTGCATGAGGGGTCACGAACTTCAAATGACAGTAACAATAAAGCGATTATGTATGATTGAATTGAAACTCCAAAAATGTGTCTTTGCACATGTGGTTCAATCAATATCTAGCATATAGTGGCCGACTGCGTTTTAGGAGTCCAAATATTTAATTACAATTCGATCACGTGTTTGATTACATACAGAATGGCAGACATGAAGCAAAACAAGCAAAGTTATCCATGATATTAATCCTACCGTAATATTCGGGTTTCGGCTTAAGGAAAGCGACATGGGCAAACATTGTTTTGAAAATGCAAACCAACAAGGAAAGCTTTAGTATTATAAGCAACAGAACATTCCCGAGTTACTTCGAGTTCCGTCACAAGTGTCTTTAACAACTTCACTTGTTTTCCTTTAGATTGAAGAGAAAAAAACTACTGCAACTCATTTAATTAGCTTACATTGCAAAAACAGACATTCAGCTTGATAGATTTTGGGGTCAGGAGGAATCTACGATGCCAGGATACAGACTTGGTATATTTATTTTCTTTACCAGATAACAAACATTTAATGATATAGTAAAATGCTTCCCAATGTACAACGAGTGTCTCTAGGAAGGGAACCATGTCTCTTTTCAGTGGGTGACTCATGACTGCATCTGACTAACAAACCCTCAACAACCTGGCACCAAACTTGCACATTTTATCCTCTTCCCCCTCTTCTTTTCATTTCTTTTCTTTTCTTTCTTTTACATTTTTACGAAAAATGCCCCCGTGCCCTTGCCAATGCGTGAGGGGTACGTATTCCGTACGTGGCTTTCTCTCTGTGAGAAACACCTGTACCCAGGTCAGGCTCCTTTGTAAGCTTACAATTACAATTCAATTCCTGTATTGCTGGGTTGTTGCTCTTAGCATCCCCTAATTTGGAGAAAATACACGGTTACTGTAAACATGCAGTTGTGATTCAGTGTACCAAACTGAAGTGAGTTAATGCATTCATTTATATTCACTGTTTTCAGCCTCCGATGTGGGACTGTTAATCATTGAATTTAATACCGGTCATTTGACCTTCGCTAATTACGGAATGAAATTTCCTTCTTTTTTAACTTCACTTGTCATGAAAAAGTTCGTGTTGTTCTTGTTAGCATGCTTTGTGGACAGTATTTTTGTACCTTTGAATTCTCCCAAACTTGACCTCTTTCTTGTTGACATTAATTACTGTAACAGCTGATTTTCTCCCTACCCGGGTGAGTCAGACGGTCAACCTGGGTGACGCAGTCAATCTGACCGTTACTGTAACCGACTCAATCCGTAACTACACTCGCTGGAGAAAGAACGGCAGTGAGGTCATCGACGAACGAAGTAATCATACCTTCTACAATCTTGGAGTCGTTGATGCTTCAAATACTGGGATCTATGAAGTCCATTTTGCTGGGGAACGTAGCAATGGAAGGCAGGCACTCATGCGGTTGATTGTCAGAGGTATTATCACTCTTTTTTATTTACCAAACTGACGCACTGTCAGCTATGCTTATGCTTAATGAAATTGGTAGTCTATGCATGGGAAAGGTTTCATGGAAAAGATTATAGCCAGACAGCACAAATCACTTCAACCAACATTTTTCAAGCTTAATTAGGGTGAGACTTAAGTACTCTGAAATGTAATTTTAGGTGTCTTTCAATTCATAAAATTTACAGAGCTAGATTTCATTACTCACAGGATGTCGTAAGAATAAATGGAATCCACCATCGTGTGGAGGAGAGTGTCCAACCTGTTTCAATGGCGGTGTGTGTGGAGACCGGACTGGGGACTGCATTTGTCCGCCTGGATTCAGCGGCTATTTTTGTGAAAATGGTAAAATTTGAATTCACTATTCCTTCGTCCTGTTGTCGATATGCCATCAGTATAGAAAGCAATTGTTTTTGCAGGCGTTTCAAGACGGCAAGCCTTGAATAAATATGAAACCCACTTATTTCATGCCCATTCAAGCTTGAAACTCAAAATTGAATTTGAAAACTGGAAGAAATTGGGGTCCTTTATGTAGTGTAATATAACATTTCTCTTGCAGCTCATTTCGAAAATTTTGTATTTTTCAGTTATCCAAAATGGGCAGCGAATATTACAGATAACCCCAACTCTTCAATGGGAATATGTTATATTAATTTATTCCTTTATTCTTCCAGGATAGCTTAAACAGCCAAAGCTGGTTTCCATTATAGCGCCCTTCAATAGAAATAAATAAATAAACAAATCCAATTAAACAAAAATTTATAAAATTTTAACAAAAACATTAGAAATACGAAAGGCAAATAGTATTGGTCATAAAGAACACAAACGTACAGATGCAAGTAAGGTTTAAAAAGAAGTGTTAAAATAAATACAGGTAAGTAAAACGTTCAATCTTAAAAACGGAAAGCAATCTTGTAGATCTTAGCTGGACTATACGAAACTCTTCCAAATTTTTTCCTCGGTGAGTGCAGAACTTCGATAGTATTATTCTATTTGATAGTGGGGATCTTTAAAGTGGCATTTGAATTCCGTCTAGAGACTTAATGTTTTGCAAAATATGAGAAGAAATCGGCCATATTTAGGAGGCATGGAATTCAAACATTTCAAGACAAAAACTCCTTTCTTGTAGGCTAGTCTTTTTAAAACTGGAAGCCAGAGTGAAGTAATATGTCAGCAGACAGAGCTATAAATGGGCAGTCCAAAATTAAATAGCATGGTATTTAAAATCATTAAATGGTGTCTTTTTTTTAAACTATGACATTTTCTTCATTGGCCTTTGCCCTTTGTATTAAAGATGTTGCTTTTTCTATATCGGGATTTTTTTTTATTTTCAATCCTGAAAAGCGAGATTAAGGTACCATGAGTACCCTTCTAGAGCACAAGCTGGTATTTGATCAATGAAGTCAAGTTTGCCAAAGTGGAATTTTGATTTTAAAGTAGGCTTATAGACCTCTGACTAAAAGGACAGTGCCTCGCTTGTTTCTAGCTGCAGGCCCAAACCGTTTTGGACAAACAGGAAGTTTCCGCTGTGACTCTCCTGAACTGGGAGGCGGTCCTACGTGTGCAGGGATGCTGTTCTGTTTGCCAGATCCTTATGGTTGCTCGTGTGCTGCTGGATACCAGGGAATCGACTGCAATGAAAGTAGGTTTTAAAAATGGACACCATTTATACCTTGCTATTGTATTGAACCATCCATACAAGAATTTCATACGATCATCATTAGTAATAAACCAGAGTCATATTTTACGTTCACTGCAGACTTGGCGTCTAGAGTTCAGTGGCGTAGATGAAAATTTGAAAAGCGGAGGTGGGACAATGATACAGTATGACTGTATATAGGGGTCACTGTCTATGATATCAATATACATCTGTAATATGTACTTAGAATGGCGTACTTTTGGCTTTTTAAATAGTTTTCCCCTTTTGAATGATATTGAATACAATTTAATCTTTGAAAGTCTGAAAATTTCTTTACAATCCACTTTAATTTTTTTTTTGGTGAAACCAAAAAGTGCGGGGATGATTAATTAGCCCATCCCCCACCTTAAAAGTTGGGGGCAGGGACGTGTACCCCCATCCATCCGGGATTTACGCCCATGTTAGAGTGAATTCTTGAACAGGGTTAAGCTCCAGTGTTTCTGGTCATTTACTAAATCCTCGGACGATTTACAGTACAACACGTTTAAGTTTTTCTTTCTTTCAGAGGTATAACCATCACTAATGAAATCCAGTATTTCGTCGTCTGAATAAAAACCTGAACGAATCCCACTATCTAATTAGTTGGTTGCTGGCCGCAAGTCATGGAATTATATATTTAATTGTTGCGTTGAACAGTGACTGTTTAGCGCTCACCTAAGAAGATTGAATGTTGAAGCACGGTTGCGACTGTTGGAGCATTTTGTGGCAATTTTACGCCAGATTGAGAAAATGAGAGGGCGACTTGTGCACGGAGATGATTGGTTCCCGCTTTGCATGACACAAATATTGACTGTTTGGAATACATAAAGTGCAGTTGATATGGTAAAAAAAAAATGAATTTCCCACTCTGCTGGGCTTTGGGTCGAGATATAGAACATTCTATTCGTCACTGAATTAATCCGGTGAAGTCAATTAGTTTGTAAAACCAATTTTACCCAAGTTTGTGTGCTTGTGTGAGAGCCGCGACCGTACCTTCCACGAGCACTTGGAAGTACACACATCTTTGTCTCTGTGAAGAACCCAGAAACAATGGAAGAATAAACTGTATCTTAGACATCGACAAAGGAGCCGCAATTGTGACTATACCACGTTGCGCTTGCAGTACAAAGACAATGAATATTATACGACCATCATTTCATATACGCACATTTATAATTCAGTGACCAGTCATGAACAATCCGGCAATCAGATGACAAGGCTTTATTTGGATAGATGCTGTCTAAAAATCAAAATTACATTTTGATCACTTAGTTATAACCACATCTTGTGTTACAGCGTGTGATGATGGTTTCTACGGAGCAAACTGTGCGCAGGTTTGTCACTGCAAGGACGGGGTATCATGCAACGGAACAACGGGAGAGTGTCCCGGAGACTGCGCACCGGGATACACGGACATCAATTGCCAAGGTTAAACAGAGAGAAGATTTAAGTACAGTACTGTTGTCCAAAACATTTCATGAGGGTCTTCAACCCACGACATTTTGTTTGTTAGTAGGGGATTTACAATGTAAATCTAACATATACATATATTCGCAGGTACCGCCCTATGTTAAAAAAACAGCTCATGAAATATTTAACGTAGCATTCGACGAATTATTATAATATCTCATAAGCAGTTTTTTGAGCACAAGAAAATTCGGAATCGGTTTTGCAACTCTGCGTGTGTTTATTTCATAAATTATCGAGTCAAGGGCAATGAATATTAATTTATGAGCTGACTATTGTCAGAAAAATTCTTCACTATTTCAATACATCCGATTTCAGCTTCAAGCACGGATGACTTCACGTGCATCACCAAGCCCCGTATTGGTAGCAAAGACACCTTCATCGCCGGTTATCTCCACGGCAGTGACGGAACGCTGTCTTTTGCTCGGACCATTTACACGTACACTGGTGGAAGAGAAAAACCTTTGTCATTGCCGTTACCACAGACGCACAATATTGAACAAGTTAGTTCGTACCAAGACGATAACGTCTTTTTGCTCAAAATGCCCCTGTCCGGATTTACAACAAGAATAGGGGCTTTTGCGTGTGTACTTACCAAGGCCGGAGGTGACGTTACTAGTGTGCAGACTGTCGTCATGAGCAATAAAGGTACGGCGATGAAAATATCAGAATCTAAAAATGAATGTATACGCCGAGTAATAATTCAAAACAGCAAAAGTCTTAGTGAGAAAATTAATAGCTCTACCCAATTTCCTCATAGATGCCCCACTTCATAATTGATTGTGAAAGAGAACTTTATTCCAGTTATGGAATATGACTATATTGCTTTTTAATTTGAGACTTTAGTGATTAGATCTGTGTCCACTTTTGGCCGGGTTACACTGAAGCAGGAATACGTTTTCATTCTTTAATTGCGTCTAATCGGCATCCAGATCGAAAAGGAATTAAAATAGAATTAGAACACGCATGGCAAAATTCTCCGTCCTAGTGATAGATGTGCCGATGTGCAATTTTATTCGGGTGAAGTTTGTTCATTCATCAGTTGGAGAAAAAACTGCCCTGTTAGAGTTCTCAATTTCTTTGGAGATGGACTGGAGTTGATGATTATGCTCAAGATTTTTATGCTCACTTAAAAATAAGGCACAAACTTTATCGAATTTTGACTAACCGTCTGTAAACCAAGTCTCCCAATTTAGCCCTGGTAAGGAACTGAATAATTGATACGTGATCGATTGTTCTTTTCAAACGTTTAAATATGCCAAGCTGAAAACTTTCCGATTATTGCGAAACAATATGTAGTGCTTCTTTAGGGAGCTTAATGAAATTGCTATGTGTCAAGATTTGTGTTTCTTTGTAACGTACGCAGGGTACCGGAACACTATTTCGTCCATTTCAAAATAGATACTTTCATCATGGATATGATTAATTAATGACTCTCTGCCTTGCATAATCTTGTAAATTATCCACAGCTGATTTTCTCCCTACCCTGGTGAGTCAGACAGTCAACCTGGGTGACGCAGTCAATCTGACCGTTACTGTAACCAACTCATCCCGTAACTACACCCGCTGGAGAAAGAACGGCGGTGGGGTCATCAACAAACGAAGTAATCGTACATTCTATGATCTTGGAACCGTTGATGGCTCAAGTACTGGGATCTATGAAGTCCATTTTGCTATGGAACGTAGCAATGGAAGGCAGGCGCTCATGCGGTTGATTGTCAGAGGTATTATCACTCACTTCATGTCTAACCTTGCATTGTTAACAATCAATTAAGCTCCCGCAATTTTTAACGAAATTTGTGGTCGGTGAATGTGAAAGGTTTCATGGAAAAGATAGCACAAATCGCTTCCATAAACAGTTTGCAAGCTTAAGGTGCGACTGAGTACTCTGATATGTAGTTATTAGTGTTTTTCATTTCATAAAATGTACAGAGCTAGATTTCATTACTCACAGGATGCCATAAGAATAAATGGAATCCACCATTGTGTGAAAGAGAGTGTCCAACCTGTTTCAATGGCGGTGTCTGTGGAGACCGGACTGGCGACTGCATTTGTCCGCCTGGATTCAGCGGCTATTTTTGTGAAAAACGTAAGGTTTTGAATTCATTAATGTACTGAATTCATAAATCTGAGCCACACAGTGTTCTAGCATACGTCATGGCGCATGGTGCTGTCTAGTACTCGGAGCGTCTTGGGCTTCCGTAGGCAAGTCGTAAGCATTAGGTTAGCAAACTGCAGACAATGTCTTTGTGGTGTTTTATTCGACCACTATGAAAAATGCTCTGATAATATAGATGTGTATGTATGGGCTTATTCAAACTTGGAGGTAAATCTTTTAAACAAATAACTGTCACAATTAACAAGTTCCTCATAAAGTTTAAGATTTTTTAAAAGATGTTTCTTTTGAACGTATTTGTAAACATTTTTTTTTAATAATGATAAATGTGCACTTCAATTTTTGTGAACCGTCTTTGTTTTGTTAGGGTTTCCAGACATGATGATTCCCTGGTATCCAGTCGTGTCACTTTGTGACATGGGATTACGCCCCCTTTGCGGGTGTTCATGCCTCTCTGGCAATCCCCCTTCAAATTAATTAAACAATTTTTTTTATACAAGTCACAGTTGAATTCCTTACAGTGCACTTTTCAAAATGTGTAAACCCAGGTGCCCACTAGATTTTTCAACCCAGTAGCACTGAGCTTTGTTCCTAAATGAAACAAGAGGTAAAATGTCGCATGAAACATTTCCCCCGCCTGAGTGAGCACTCCCTGTCGGCACAATGCTGAAAATAATGCTGAACAACACGAATAACAATGAATATTTCCGCTGCCGGCACTGATTTTTATGTAGTGAAAAATTAAACAGGTATTTTGTGGTTAAAAGCAACCATTTTGTACCAAGGTATCCTGAACATAAGAACAAATTTGGAAAAGTTTCCGGAAGAATTCCTCTTGATGGGCCATGTGATGTTGGTGGCGAGCCTGACGTTTGTTTTGTCGGAATAATCATCACCAGGCCAGGAAAGCAGAGTAAACATCGCGTTTTTGCAACTTCGCTGGTTCAGATTGAGGGACGCTTTATTTAAGGCACAAGTTAAGTTAGTTGATGCCTCGCCCAGGTTGGACGACGTCTACATTACACTGCGACTAACGTCCAGGGTTGACAGTCCTTAAACTATGCGAAATTTTTTCAACACTTTTTTGCCCACATTTTTACCAGACGAAATGTCGTTCACAAGTGCCTTGTATCCTGAATTCCAAAAATGCTGTGTTGAAATTACTAAATACGCCCGCAAACAACGTATTTTGGGGAACCTTCTGCGAAACTATCCGCTTTCCGTCGTGATTCGCTATCAACATGCATGTACCTGACATAATGTACATGTACAGTTCACGTTCGCCTATCGCGGTACTCGCACATGCGCGAAATGCATGGTAACGGAGTGACCCTTACGCATGCGTGGAGGAGCCGTGGGCGTGATGAAGTTTCGCAGAATTTCCTCCAAAATACGTTGTTCGTATTTTAAGCTGTCTTCGTCATGTAAAAATGTGAAACAAAAGTGTTGGAAAAAATTTCGCATAGTTTTCAGGACTTTCATACCCTGGACGTTAGTCGCAATGTAATGTAGACGTCGTCCAACCTGGGCTAGTTGATGCCATGAAAAATTGATAGGAAAACTCATCTGCTATGTCCTGTTTTCTCAGTTGATTAGTAAAACGAATTTCTCTGCCATGGTCCTCAGCGGAAGGTCCCAATCGTTTCGGACAATCAGGAAGTTTCCGCTGTGACTCTCCTGAGCTGGGAGGCGGTCCTACGTGTACAGGGATGCTGTTCTGTTTACCAGATCCTTATGGTTGCTCGTGTGCTGCTGGGTACCAGGGAATCGACTGCAATGAAAGTAAGTTATAAACCAGTACCTTTTTGTTCAGAGAGTAAAAAGAAGTCAACTTATGATGATTTTTCAACGATATTGTTCCAAAATGTTACTTTCATTTCCCGAATACCCCTTCCATTTGTGGTATATTTGTTTTGAAAGTTGTCCTATAGAATTTCTTACGTATATTGACTTGGCGAGCGCGTGCACGTATGTTCGCTCCCTTGTGCACCACTTAGTTGAGGGTTAGCGCCTGCATGCGCACTCCGTCACTCTACTGTGGATTTCGAGGCAGGCGATGTAAAACACTGTTACCACAATTCTTTCAGCGAATGGACTCCGTAATTTATTTCTAACAAAATACAAACAAAATTCACGGAGATAACTAAATATTGGTCAGACAACATTAAACCAGCGTATTATAATGAAAACCAGTTGCACAAAATTTGAAGCAATTCTAAAAAAGTGATTAAAAAAATAAATACCATCAGATTTGAAAGGTAATACGTCCACGGTCTTTCCCATTTTAAAACAACTTCTCCAGTGTATCCAAACAAACGAAATAAAGTGTCATGTGTATTGTAGCGTCGCGCCCCTCCGACGAAGGCGAGGGCGCCCTCCTCATCGAGGCGCGACGCATCGGACGGCACGTACCGGAGAGTCCCTGAGCGGCTAGGGACGAGTCCGTTGGGACCGAAGTATACCGTCCCCCAAGATAGTTCAACGATCTCTGGTCCTCGTTGAGATGATGCCTTATCTGATTGGCCAAAACTTAGTGACGCAATCTGGACAGACATGACTGGTATTGGCAGCCAAAAGAGCCAAAATTAATTTTAATAAAAATAAACAATTAGGCCTACGAGCAAACAGAAACTTCTTATTCAAAAATCTAAATAACAAAACACAAAACAAACACCAAAAACCATTTGAGAAACAAATTATTAAGATGTTTAATTAAAAAGAAATAGAATTTATATGTCTGTCACAAATCCTCCTAAAAGGCCTTGGAATTGGTACCTTTGAACCAAAACTCTGAAAAGAACGACTCAGAGAAAATAAAGGACCAAACACGATGAAATATAGTTCAACACATTTAATATATGAGTCCCCCTTTAAATACTACTAATCACACAGTTCAAACCTCCAAGAGAACAGATCAAAATTAAAAGATACTGATGGGCACTTGTGGTCTTTGGTCAGGATCTCGGTTTGAGGCGGGTCCCGCTGTCGTCCCCGGGGTTAGGTGTCATCCTGGCACGGCACATCAGTGGGGGAACGTCTACCCGCCAACCAAGACCCCAGTCCAAGATAAAAAGCCCTATTTGCAATTCAAAATCAGTTTCGATTAAATACAGTTGACTACTCTTAAACGATTTCTGACCAATCACTTTCACTACATTTCCAAGTTTCGGGTTATCGCTTGAATAATTTACCACAGCGTTTAGTTCATAAAGATCTCCTAAAACATTACGATGTTTTGTTCGCTTTTAATCAAACAATTGCTTGAACATACTTTATTTCATCATGGTCCTGTGAACTACAACGTTCTTTCCAATAAAAGATTGACAACCCTTCACAGAATTTTGTTGCAGTTTTTATACAAAAGAAAATACTTACAGGCTATATCAGGTAACCTGGCATGGCTGTTAAGTTTGAAGATGTGGGCGACAAGGTGACAAGACTTCTAGACTGCTGGTATTCTCACTGGCATCTTGGTGCTCTCAAGCTCCCCAATACGATGCAGTATTTGTGAAAATGAACCCAATCCCCGACCAAACGCATCGGTCCAACCTGGAGGATGATCGGGTCAGACGGGCCTCTAATGCCCCGATGTAGTGCCAGCAGTCAATCTCGTCACCAAGTGCCGAGCCGACGCCCTTGCGAAAACGCAATGCATTATCCCAAATTCCTTAAAACCGTACCAACTAAACTGGAATGATTGCGGCCAATGAACATTCTTTTCTTATTGTCCGACAATTGTCTACTGACCAGAGTCCAGTCCATACTTTTCAACCATTCACCAAGTATTTAATATAAAGTCACAGGCACTGGCCTCAGCATTTCGTCCGCCAGTTCAGTTCAATTGAACCCAACGTTCTGGAATTTAGCACAATTTTAAGTTAACAAAACACGGCACATTTCTATAATAAAACAAAAATCCCTTAAATGAAATCAAACTGTGACAATGTCACAAATATTAATTTCACCAAAAATAAATAATCACGGGCAAATAACATTTTCACATCAAAATGTAAATGGTTAAACACAAACAAACTCTAAAACATTTATAACAGAGATAATTTAACAAATAAATAACCAACATCTGAAAATAATATGCCCCCAAAAGCTCCCAAAATGAAAACAGTAAATGAAAATACAAAATAATTGAAATAAAAAAAACTGTCCAAACCAAAGGTCGCCAGCAGTTTACTTCAATTTTTCACACCGAAACAAAACACAAATCATTAGAAGAATTCTGAAACAAATTTGGTTCCAACTTATAATACTTTATTTTTTGTAAAATTAATTTTGACCCTTTTGGCCGCCCGGTTTTTTTTTTCAAGTTATTGTAAATTAAATATTTTGCACGAGAATAAATTGTCCGTAGTAGTACATGTATACGTTTATGAGCGTTGATGGAGTACATGTACATGTACTGTACATGAACGCGCATATGTCCCACATAAACCATGGCCGAACGGCTGACAGTCGGAGCCAAAATTGAAATTGATCAATTTAACAAAGGACAATTCGTAATAGCTTAAACAGACCATGGTAACCGTTTTCAAACACTTTTTAATTATTAATTAACATATGCAACACGTGTGGAAAAACTGAAGAACAATTCAAACTTTTTACGATCGGAAATATAATGTGCACAGACATTTTTCACCCCATTTCCTCCCAAATGCTATATATAATTTACACGAAACATATCACAAAATGAAATCTGAGGCCTGATTATATTTCTCTGGTATAACCAGTAAACTTGTGCACTGTGCGGAAGATCTCTGCAGATGAATATTGGAATAGTTGTTTGCTGGCGAGCGTCGAGTGACCACAACTTTACCACATTTTAGCGCATGCGCACAAACTAAGTTGAAGGAGGTAAACATGCGGTGCGTGGTGCGTTCTGCGTGTAGCATCGCACTCAGACTCATGACCAATCTGAGAAATATGGAAGGGATGCGAAGCACCGTGATCAGAATATCGACAAGAATATCATATCAAATCAGTGCTCTAAAATATGTCAGAGCGCTGATTTGATATTATATTCTTGTCGATATCATGACCAACCTGGTTCGTAAGTGTGACTACACTTCAGTTTAAACCACGTCCACTGCACATGCACTGCACATGGCGTTGCATGCATCGATCGCCGTTTACGTGGAACCGGAAATTAACGTGCAACTTCAGCGACCGTCCAATGGGAGCCCGAAAATCGTGGCAAAGTTACTTATGAACCGGATAGGGATTGAGTAAAGAATATTGACAAAAAATAATATATAATCAGTGCTCTGAATTATGTAATTGCCGAGCTTTCGGTAACTGGGTACGCACCTTTCAACGTGCGAGTCAACACTTATGCTAAGCTTTGCGTATCCGTCAAAATCGCTCCGAGGGCAATGCTTCGTTTTGCTTTTGCCGAACGCTACGCGCGAGTGTTTTATGTTAATGGAGTCGATTTTTATTGGAGTCAGGTTTATTCTGTAGCTGCTATTTTATCACGAAATTATTGCTACATTATTATATTGTAGTGTGTGATGATGGTTTCTACGGAGCAGACTGTGCACAGGTTTGTCACTGCATGGAGGGAGTGTCATGCAATGGAACAACAGGCGAGTGTCACGGAGACTGCGCACTGGGTTTCACGGGCATCAATTGCCAAGGTATAGGCCTAATTTACTTTACCTTTCTCTGTTTTGTCCTTATAAAAGAACAGCTCTCACTTTAGCATGATGGTGCACAGATTGTCAAATTAACATGTTGTTTACTTTTAGTTTGTGACAATAACACATACGGGCATGACTGTCGACTCTGTCACTGCATGGAGGGAGTCTCATGCAATGGAACAACGGGCGAGTGTCACGGTGACTGTGCACCAGGATTCACAGGCATCAACTGTCAAGGTAATTGCAGCCATTTTGTCTGTTTCTCCCAAAAATTATAACATTGAAAAGAACACGTATACCGAATAGTGCATGGGACATTATACAAAGAAAAGGTGAACTTGGGAAAACTAATCCAATTCAACAGTTTGTATGTCTAACCACTACAACCCCTGCAAAAATGGCCTAATGTATAGGTGCAATTCGCCATGTCAAATGTTCATGGTTTCTGACATTGGAGGTCATTTAGCGAATTATGCCCCATCCGTTGGTTAACAAGCGTTGTTTTCTTTCTAATCGCAGAGAAATGCCTTCCATTTAACGGAAGTAAGGCATCATGCCACACAACCTGCACAGATTTCCTAGGTAAAGACATTTTCCATTTGTCATAGGTTGTGTCTTTCACTGTCTTTGATAACAACATTTTCACTGTCGAAAGAGCATTGTTTCATGAATTAATATGGCCATAGCAAGGTTCCGTGAGGCCTTTGCAGATGTCGTTGCTATCTCGCTTTAGTTATACATTGCATGCAAGGGTGTTACACACAATGTGGATGGTGATCAAGGGGAATTGCTTTTTATTTCAAAAGGTAGAATGAAGTTAGTAGGTATAAGCTCATATCTGTACAGAATTACCTTCAAATGCTTTCATTTGGGTTTAGACTGTGCGAGATTTAAAAATCAATTCTCATAACAATATAAAGTACGCGATACTACACAATCAGTAGTGCCAATCAAAGCGCCCATCTCTGCTCTCGCGTATAGATAATTCTTGCCTTCACCTTATATCATGCACAATGTTAAGTAAAGAGCTCATCTGCTGAATTGTCGTTCCATGCTTAACCCCAAGGATCAACGCGTGCAGCCCAGTGACTTCTTCTGCCTTTATTAATCTTACTCATGGTATTGATTCAGCTCTCTTCACTTACAAAAGACTGTAGTTTTTTTCGGTTGTTATCTGCTGTTATCATTGTACATTAACACGCTCATCAACTTGATTAAAATTTTTTCGTGAATTTAGGTTGGGCTTACAAGTTTAGATTTAACACAGTCATTTCTCTCCGCGCTATATAACTTTTCAAATATCGAAGGTGTTTCAGTTACCATTATCTAACTTTATAGATCCTGCTATGAAGTCCTTTGCACCGCAGAATGTTGCAATCATCAGTACCCTCTCGAATAAAATGAACAAAACGTTCACATGGCATCCAGTGAATTGCACCAATGGCATTGGGATAGTGAATTACGTTTATATGTTGAAAGCGTACGGGAATCGTCAGGAGCCAGAACCAGTACGGATCGACAGCAGCTTGGTCTCGGTACCTGTCCCATTATGCGGCGTACCTTATGAATTTCAGGTGGCTGCTGAAACCACCAAAGGCATCGGACCATTCAGCTCTACACACTTTTCAACTTACTGGAGTGGTACGTTTCAAGTTATTGCCTTCCTCAGATGGATTACATGATATCATCGGCATAAATTCCTGGGGTGGACGGGTATATACCCCCCCCCAAAAAAATCAGACTTCCAACCACTAAAATGGATTAATGATCACTTTTAAAAAGGAAACCAATTTTGAAAAGCCATGGATATTGCCATTTGGAATACACATTACAGGAGAACATTAACATCATGGACATTGACCTTTAGTGTCATATATGGTGTCACTCCCCGGGCTCATCCCGCTTTTCAAATCTTCCTGGCTGGGCAAGTCATCCCCCACTTTTCCCTATACCCCACACCCCAAAATTTCTGGCACAAATTTACGTCACTGTTTGATATTTTACTTCGAGACTATGAGATGTAGATTTTTTTATAACACTTCTTTTGACCTTGTTATCCTTTAACGAATACTTGTCCCCATCGAATATGTACTGGTGCATTTGCAACTGAAAAAGATAAGAAAACATTAGTCGTCCAGCAAAGCACCAAAATTACCGTTTACGTCCATTTTGCCCTGTTTGGTTATACTTAATTGTCTCTCGCGATTGATTTCCTGAGAACATATGGACTAGATTGAGTGATTAAGTGATGAACTGTTGAAATAATTTTAACAATCTCCCCACAAGACACCAGTAAAACAGAGAAAGCATGACTGACAGATTTCTCATATTAGTAATTTCTTTTTTACTCACTTGTTATAGCCCCAGATGCCGTTGCAGCACTTACCAACCAGGGAACCAGTAAAAGTGGTATAAATCTCTCGTGGACGACATCCAGAACCAGCCAAAACTACTCTTGTCCTGCATTTGACTATCTGGTGACCTTTACCCTCAAAAAGCTGGATCATTGCGGCGAGGTTCATAACCAAAGCGGATTGGTCAACACAACTAACACAAGCATCTCTTTACAGGGACTAAAAGCGTACTCTATATACGATGTGTCTGTTACACCACGAAATGATATTGGAAATGGCTCATCATCGCCGCTGCAGATAACAACAGGGGAAACAAGTAAGCTTATTTGCAAACTGTTCTTATGTTCTTTATTCAACAGTTCACATTGGCGGCTTCAACTGAAGGCCACATATTACCTTGCATAGGAACCTTAATCTGGAATATTTTTACGACTTCCCTGCGAAAGTAGTATATAAATAACTTATTAGTTTACTGAAATTTAGCAATAATACGATTCCTTTAGTTTGTGGTTTAAATATCCAAAGTTATTCCTTCCAATATCATTAACTGTTCAATCAATTATGGTTCATACAAGGACCAGGGGCAGCACCTGAAATCAACAGCAGTTCATCAACAATTAACAGTATCACGTGGACATGGAACACAATCCCTTGTGGGAAAAGAGGTGGCAAGATCATTGGCTATCAAACACGTTTGAAAAGATCGAACGTGAGAGTTGATAGAATGAATGTTTCGACTACGTCAGTTAAATACACTGGACTGCTAGCCTGTACACGATACACCGTGAGTGTCTGGGCTTACACGAAAGCAGGGAGAGGAGAGCGGTCCAATGATACACGACTAACGAAGACTGATGGTGAGTACTTGTTCTGTTTACGTTCGATATTTGCATGGAGCTCTACAAGACGCGTTTGTTCTTAGCACATGGCCTATATATCGCTCTAATGCATTGGGATCCGGGTTTAAAAAATACCAGCCAGGTTCATTAATTAAGATGTAGCGTGCCTCATATTTTTGTAATTCACAAAACTCAATCACCGAATTGACATTATTATTCGTGTTCGGCAAAAAGCGCATTTTTGTTTGCAGATTAATGTTTTTCAACAGGGAAAACAAATTTAAAAGATTATTACCCCCTGCTGATTTCTTTGGATTCATACAGTACCGGAACCCGTCTTAGATTTAAATGTACTCGGCCACCTGATGTCGCCTAGACAGGATGAATTCCACGTTCATTGGACGGCTCCGGGAGGTGATTGCTGTGCAACATCTTACAACGTATCTTACGAACTCATCGAGTTGGACCATTGCGACTCGGAATTGACTTCTCCAGCAACGACTGCATTTGGAACAGTCAAGGATATCAACGTGACGATTCGCCTACCCGCTCATTACTCAAAGTACCGTGTACACGTTGCGCCTATCAACGGTGCTGGGGAAGGTAACAGAACCTCCATCAGTATAAACACTAGTGAAAGCAGTAAGTAATGTTCTTGTTTGAATTTGCTGAGACCCATAATAGGTTCAAAGTCTTTTGAAGTTATGAATTTCACCATAGGTTTTTGAAAAGTTGCATTAATTACGTTTTGGATGCAAACCAACAACAGCAATGCTTTAACACCTGTTCGCACTTACTGACTTGGCTACGGATTTATTTTGGAATCCTAGAACTTGGCAAGAACCAAAATCATTATTGCTGCTATAGTAGTAAGGACGAGGTTTTTCTGCCCCAGCTCAGTTTAATCCAAAATCAGCTCTCCATTTGTCAGCTGATAGAGAATTCGATCTTTTTCAGCACCAAATGCAGCACCGGTTCTTCGAAGTGCAGCGTCCAATGACAGCATCACATTTTCCTGGGATCCAATTCCGTGTGGCAGTAGACGAGGGAACATCACGCACTTCGAGTACAGATTTCGAGGATCAGGACCACAGGGAAAAGATAAAGCTACCAAGAAGAAAAATGTCACGCAGCCATCGGTTACTTTTCGTGATTTATCACCATGCACCAACTACTCAATCAGAGTTCGGGCATATACGAACATAGGACATGGACCGTGGACAAACTGGACAGTCCAAGACACGGTCATTATTGGTAAACACCTTTTGCAGTTCATTTCGGAGTTCGGCTTCCTGCTAAAATGACAAGAAATATCTAAATTAAGAGGATCCACTTTGATCAACATTTCCATTTTTTGACATTTGACTTGAGTTTGAAGATTGTAACCGACGTCAATCTTAAACTCCGTGCATAAGCACCTCTTCACTGTTTAAAACGGGGGAGGGGGAGGCGGATATGTGATAGCTCGATGAGTTTTTATGTACTGTTTTCTGTCTCTTCCAGATTGTATTTGAGTGCATACCGCCAGGGAGACGTCATTAGGCTACTTTTTAAACCAGTACTTGTATTCTATTGGTGGTAATTTTTGCAACGTGAACATCAGAATGAAGACCAACACTTTTTTGAGGATGCAAGATTCTTTCGTCTCCTTTCAGATGAAATTCAGTCCTTTAACCTCCAGCCGTTCGAAAATAAAATCCATGCCTCCTGGATAACTGCTGGTGACGAAGACAACCCTTGCCCCGTGACATCATACCTTGTTAGTTACCAACTTGTCAACCTGGAGCAATGTGAACAACAGAGCAATCCTGAGCTGATGAGTTGGGGAGTCGTGGTTGGCAGTGGTACCAACATCACTTCGGTACATGCTTACTCTACTTACATCGTGCAAGTGGTACCAGCGAATAATGCTGCCGAAAAATTCATACAAATGGAGACCATTACAACAGATGAAGGAGGTAAGCCAATAGACCGTGCCCGCGGCGTCCCCAACTTCAGTCGTATTCCTGAACGCACAGTATAAATTTGAGAGCCGAAACGGGGTGGTACCAGGTGATTTGGGGGGTCGGAATGAAATCGTAGAATATAGCCTGGTTCTTTGAATTTAACGTTTTCCAATAAAACACTACGTAGGGGAATATGACTGAAATTGGGGACGCTGCGAATACGAGTGTGCCTCTCTGTCTATATTATGTGAAGTACAGGAATTAATTACTTTCGAACAGGTTCTACATTACTAGCAAGAGTTAACACATTGCCGAATAGGCAAATATAGATTCATAACGTTCTAATCGCAATCTAGCAAAGTCAACCCATTGCCAGCCTTGCAATATCAATTAACAGATTGAAACTCTTCACATCTTTTTCCATCATTTTCTTACAGTACCATTAGCTTCTCCTGAGCCAAACGAAGTGTTTATGTTCAATCAAAGTGTTCGAGTGTCTTGGTATCACATTCCTTGCGGCAAGAGAGGCGGTAACATCACCGGCTACTCGTACGAATTGCTAGACGTAACAGGATCTCTGGTAAATAAAGGCCACACTGAAGCAGACTCGGTCGTAGTTGACGGTCTGGCACAGGGGGCATCCTACTCCTTTAAGCTGTGGGCGTCAACACGTGTTGGACTGGGACCCCCGATGAGCATCCGGTTGAATACTCCGATAGGTACTGTATATGAGATGACCGTGCGTGTTCATTGAGAGCAAAAGAAAATTGCATGCTCTTGTTTAATTATTTATTGATGGCAAAATATTCGCTTATTAAGTTTAAAAAAGGTTTCATCTCAAAGTAAATTCAGGTTATTAATTGAAACGAGTTGAAGAAGGGAAACCACTGTAGGGGCACATTGCGGGTAGCTTGTCCTCTATTTTTGATGAATTGGTCGTAACAATATGCAGGACCTTTTATCTTCTGCCCGGCTTGGCAGGAAATCCTTCACATTTCACATTTTTACACAATTGTGGTTACAAAGTGATATACGTGGAAAAATGTCAGTCAGACTAAGTGACGTTTTCGGTGTTTGCCCAGCTTAGATATGGGATCTTGGATCTGCGGAAGATGCACGCAACAGTACATGGGAGATTTTATCGATAAGGTTTATGCAGCCAATGGAAAGACGAGCTACAGCAGCCATGACCGAAGAGTCTCAATTCAGACCTTTAAAGTACCCGACTATAAACTGTTGAAAGAATTATCGAATGAATTTTGCTTTTCTGTTTCAGATGCTTCAAAACCTCCAGTCGAGGCTAGTTCTGCAAATGCTGTTGTGGTTGTGGTCGTTGTCTTGCTAGCTGTGGTTTTTGTACTCCTTGTTGCTGTTATTGTCAGGCAAGTTCAATGGCAATTACTTTAGTGAAAATATAATACAATCCCAAGCGATAAATTTTAAGAGTTTTGAGTTTTTGTCACCCCCCAGGAAAAGACGACAGGAGGGAGAGAAACCACTGAGTGTAATTGCAGATCAGGATGAAGGTGTGTAAATTTCTTTTGGCGGAGGAAGAAGGTTAAATGGCAATACTGAACAATCAAAATTGAAATACATTTTAACGGTGTTCACAAAACATCCATACAGTGCATTATGCGACAGCTTATGCTGCAGAATGTTAACGTGAAGGTTACAATTATTGATATGACAGCAAACTTGTTGAAACAAACTACTCACTCGGCGGATTACCAATGTTCGGAGTTGGGGTCCAAACACGAAACCTTTTAATATGCAAATTTTCAGTTGGACTTCAGAATCTTCCGTCGACATCTGCTGCTAGATCAGCTGAAATATCCACTGATCAATCCCTGCCATCCGCTAATCTACCAAAGTCTACTGATGAGATGCCTGTTGGTAATGTCCCGTCCAAAGCTGGACCGTCCACAGCATCCACTGATTCACTAACACCTGGCCCATCCTCTAACGCACCTGTTACTAAGCCTAAACCCTATGTCAAGCCTTATGCCAAGACCAAATTGAAGGCATCAGCCAAGACCTCTCAAAGTTTCCCCCAAGTCGGTCCAGTGGCCATGGCACATCTAGCAGAATATATCAAGAGGAAGACATCGGAAAAGATCAGTGGGTTTCAACAAGACTACGAGGTGAGTTAAAGGAGCTATTATCATCTGGATTTGTCTTGATCTATAGTCCACCCTGCAACCGGCCCTATAGCTGGACCAAAAGAGGGCGCAGTTACCCCGGCTCCTTCAGTAGCAACCTACTGCACATCGCTGGTTCACGAACGACATTCAAACTAAGTATTGCAGTCGCATTGCTACCAACAAAATGAACGCTCTCGACTAACGGGGCTCTTTTCAATCGATGTGGGCGTGCCTTTTCTGGGTTGGGGGGGGGGTAATTTTAATTGAAAGGTTTACAGAATACCACATTGTCAAAGTGTACTTGGTAAGAATCAATTTAATTCTAAATGGCGCAGTAACAAGCACAATACCCCTTGCGAAAAATACGAACACAAAATAGCCGTTCTGTGTCAGTCATTTATCAGAGTTACAGGCCTGTGAAAAGGAACTGAAATCAACTTTTCCCCTGAATTTTTGTACTTTTCAAATGGAAGGGGGGGGGGTGATATAATCAAAAAGAAAAAAAAATTGAATACTGTAGCATACTGAAATGTTTGCTGTCGTACTTGGAGCTGTTATACGATAAGAAAAGTTGGATATAAAATTTCATCAATTGGATTTTACCTTTTTCTCTCTCTTACAGTCGATCCCAGGAGAACATCTCCACTCGTGGAGTGTGGCCAAACAAGATCATAACAAGAGGAAGAACAGATACAACAACATTTTGGCCTGTGAGTTTTTATCGCGCGCCACGAGATAATGTACGCCTTCAGTTTCCAAACTTCTGTCACTTAATAGCAACGCTTGATTCCTCCAGACAATTCTTGCACTGCGTTATTTCATTGCATTTATAGATAAACAGGATGCTATTCAACTTGCCTAGTGTGGCAAGTGCTTAGATTTTGACCAGAAGTGATGCCTGTAGAAAGCAGATAAAATGTAAACTTGTTATTATAATTTCTGACAGACGATCATTCTCGCGTTGTTTTGGAGTGTCTCGAAGATAATCCACAGTCAGACTACATCAACGCCTCCTACATCAATGTAGGTTAACTTCTACTCCAATCTTTTTGTGAAGATTGTATTTTCCTGAATGTTTGACTTTTCCATCCAAACTTCTAATGGTTTCTCGTGTTCTTTTGGATGTTTCCCATGTAGGGCTACAAGCATGAATCCAAATACATTGCCTGTCAGGGTAAGTAAATGTATTTCATGAATCGTTGGAATCAAGGCTTAAAAACTCACAAGAATACAATGCGCCTTCGTGCAGTTTCACTGGATTCTTTTTACTGCCAATAAAGTGCGTTCCCCTCTGCTGTTTATAGTAACAACACTACCAATGCTTTGGAAAAAAACAGCTCTCTTACTCGAGTAGGAAGGGAAGAGCAAAAACTGTGGAACTTTCAAGGATCAGATACCTTATCCTTAATTAAACTGTATCCAAAGCCTTCAACTTTTATTACACTTTACCGATTTCCTAAGATTAGACCAGTGAGCCTACATTTTAATGTCAAATTTGTAACTGACATTCGTTGCAACACTTTTGAGACAAACAGGCAGTGACACGCTCATATGAAAACTTTCGAACTGCTGGGCTTAATTTGAAAAGAGGATCTGATGAATATTTTGTAGGTCCTACTAAGGCGTCTGTGAACGACATGTGGCGCATGGTGTGGCAGGAGAGAGTTGGAAAGATTGTCATGCTTACAAACCTGATCGAGAATGGCAAGGTACTGACATAACCACAGTTATAATATCTCCCTCTGTGCCCTGTCCTTTCTCCAACAGATTTTTCTTTGAATCGTTACATCCACTTGACGCTAAATTACAGGTCTCATTGCTAAAGCAATAAAGTTCAAAACTGATGTCGTTTCTCTTCAGCTTACACTGCACCAAAATGACTCCCTTAGAAATGAAGGAGTATGGCAAATATTAAGTAGGATATTTGCCTTTTTTGTGACATAATTCTTAGGGGAAATGTGAGCAGTATTGGCCGGACGAGGGTGGTAAAGACTATGGAGAACTGTTTGTACGCAAAGTGGACGAATCATCACATTCAAATTTCATTGTTCGGACTTTCCACTTGTCTAAAGTAAGTATATACATGTACAAACAATAAATCTTTGTTGTTGGATTTTCCTTGTCACTGTATATATATAACACCCAAACATTTACCAGCAAAACTGTTCGAGTTCAAATATTCATTATACGTTAAAATATTTTTTCCATTATTCATATTTTTCACGATTGACAGCACGGCTAAGTGATAACTAAACTTCTTGTTTGATTTATATTCAGAGCAGTGAGCCTGAGGGTGAATATCGTGAGTTGATCCATTTCCAGTACATCACCTGGCCAGACATGAAACTACCTGAATCCTCACCATTGCTTCGATTTATCATGAAGATCCGAGCGACAGATCTAGAGAGCACCCAACACGGACCTATCGTGGTTCACTGCAGGTCGATTATTTGGTGGTCTGTCAGGTTTTATTTGTGAAGAGCCACAAACATAGAGCTGGGTAGCTCAGTTGGTAGAGCACTGGTACGGTATTCCAGAGGCCGCAGGTTTAAATCCCGCTCCAGTCAATTTCTTCTAAACCTTTATAATCGTTCATAAGCACCTAGTCAGTTTCCTTACATGATCTGTTTCAGGTTTTATTTGTATATAAAGTGTCAAAGTCGAACTGAACTTTCAAAGATTTCTGTTACACACTTATTCTCGATTGTGTCTCATTGTCCTCTTCAGTGCTGGAGTTGGCCGCACAGGGACATTCATCTCTGTGGATTCGATGCTTGACATGGCCGAGGCAGAGGGCCAAGTTGATGTCTTGAAGTTTGTCCGTGACATGAGGGAGCAACGCTTTCTCATGGTACAGACTTTGGTGAGTCGTCGGTGTTTTGGTTGCCGGTTTTCCAGAATTCCACAGGGTTGAAGAATTAAATGAATGACAATAAAGCAGCGTACTGCTTCTTGAAAATTGTTTTGTGAATGGAATTTCTCTCAAAGTGGTCATTTACCTTTCTTGGTTATCGTTTAAACAGGAGCAATATAAGTTCATTTTCGATGCTCTGTTAGAGTCCAGCTTGTCAGAGAACACAGCTTTCAAAGCTGATCAGTTCCATCAACATTACGCCAAACTTAAGAAGCGCGACAAGAGGACGGGCACCAACAGCATCCAGGCGCAGTTCCAGGCAAGTTGTATATTGAAGCTGTACATGTAACCTCCGCTGACTCGTCAAGCAAGATGACATTTATACCAAGAATGGGGAAATACGCCCTTTCTGTCTCTCGTTACCTCTATAACCTTAATGTCAATTATCTCTTTTTTACGAGGATACACACATTGATTAAATTCAGGTTCGACTTGCAGTTCTAGAAATTCTATAATAACAACACCCAAGGGCAAAGATCGAAGCACCTGAACGACCCAACCACCTTTGAGACATCTGTAAGACTGTGTTGCTTTTGGAGAAAAAATTCATAAAAATCGTCCATCATTCCCTGTTTTTGTCGGACATTTTACAAGATGTTGGAGTCATTCACCGCATCGTGGAACGAAGATCAGTGTATTGGAGGGCGGAACGCCGCCAACGTTGACAAGAACAGATTTAAAGACTGCATTCCTAGTAAGTCAATCGGCAGAGAAAGTATTCAGCACATTTAACTGCGACACACATGAATTACTTCTTGTTGGTTTATATTGCAGCTGCCGTAAAATGGTTAAGCCTTCACTAGAAAATTATGTATTTGTAACTTTTGTCTGCTCTTAGTGGCCAAGCATTCGAATGATTTCTTATTTCTTTCAAAACGTTTCATACGGTGCCATGCTTTTTTAATATGGATCAAATTAATATGTTTTTAAGAAAGAAAGACATATACGTGATAATTATATTCTAATGCGATAGTATTTAATTTGTCCATTAGAGGATAATACTCGTCCCTATCTGATGACGAAAGGTGATGAAGGCAGTACCAACTACATCAATGCGACATTCCTGAATGTAAGCCTAAGGCATGATGCTTTACTTCATACATGTGCTGTGCATCCCGCGCAGAATGGTCATTCCATTTTATTGACCCACGATTGAACTGCCATTCTCCTGGTGATAATCGGAAACTACCAAACTTGCTTACTCCTCTGTGTTGCAGGGTCACAAAGGCAAGAATGCCTATCTAGCCACCCAGGCTCCCCTACCTAACACAGTGGGTGACATCTGGAGAATGGTGTTTGATTACAAATCATTCTGCATAGTCATGCTCAATTCCATAAACGATGACCCAAGCGTTGTCCAGTATTGGCCAGAGGACTGTTTACAGTTTGGACCTCTGACCGTTACACTGAAACGTGAAGACCAGCACAGTAGCGACATCATCATACGACAGTTTGATGTCTCCTATCCCCTTAGAAAGGTATGACTCTATGGTGTCTTAATCGGGCGCTATCGTAGGTATGAACTCAGTCGGGGACTATGACATAATACGATCCCATACCACTACGTTTCCTTGGAAATTATCAAACGTGTTTTAATGCACTATTGTCACAGTGCATACAGTCATAGGATAAGACCAATTTTAACCGGTAAATATACTTGAACTTTTAGAGTGACGAGGTTCAGAGCGTCTGCCAAATCCAGTACCTAGGCTGGCCCTCTAGGAAGGAGGTTCCCAACTCACCTTCTAGTCTCCTCAAGGTGCTGGAGGCTGTTAAGATGTGGACAAGGGACCACCCAGACGGACCCATCACTGTCCACTGCATGTAAGTGTCCAACAAGAGGAAAATAGCCTCTGTGCTACAAAGCTGTTTATATTCACTGTGGCTGAGGATTGACCAATCAATTCCAAATCTGTCTTTAGTGATGGTGTAGGATGCAGTGGAACCTTTTGTGCTTTGCTCTCTGTTGTGGACCACCTTGAGAAAGAGAAGATTGTGGATGTATTTCAGGCCGTTAAAAAGCTGAGGACAACCCGAGCTGGGATGGTCAACACTTTGGTACGTTTGGAGGCAATTGCATCAATCCGAAATGATTTTGTGAATACATTTGAGACAATGTGACTTGAAATTAAAGCCCAAAAGATGTGTTTTTAAAGATTTATTCACCATCGAAATTTAACAGAAAAAGTATCATCAAATCAAATATCAAATCATCTTACAACAATGTCTAACACTTTCATTTCAGGCGCAGTACCAATTCTGCTACCAGGTAGTTCAGACCTACTTGGATTCCAGCTCCATCTATGAGAATTACCGATAAATCATCAGTTGTTGAGAAAGCTACCAAAGACATCAGATTTGCAAGTCAATCACTGTAACTTTATTCTATAATGCGATACACAGTCACTTTTCTTACAGACAAAATATAAATTGGAAAAAGGCCCCTCTAATTCAGAGCTTCGAGTCGCACCTTATTGGAAATGCTTGTCTTAGTTAAGTCGACTGATCGGTCAGCTGTGAATTTTAACCAACATCCACCCTTTAGCAATATTGATTTAGTTTCCATACAAAATCGTTAGAGTGACAAGTAAATAATTTCACTGATTTCCACGATTGAATAAATGTTTAAAGCCATATAATTGAACCATTCTGATGTAAGATTATACACATTAAATTAATGTACATCTTTATCATGAACATCGCCCCCTATATAGTGTTTATGGTGTAACCCCCCCCCCTTTCCCGGCTTTGGGGGCCCTGTTCATAATTTTATATAAACCATCACGTGTATTTACAAAACCTAAGGAGTCGTAAAATAAAAGGAACTCATGTTATTGAACACATTGACAGAATATGCCTTAGATTTATACTTTAATAATTGATAATCGATACGTTTTGTTGTACTTAGACGTCTTGTTGACATTGAGGCGTAACTTCATAAGTATCCTACAATTTATAATGTAAGGTAATTCGGTGTTATTACTTATGTAAATTAATTACAGAAAGGTTGCATGCGTAAAAATGGATTTTATTGTGGAGAGCAATAAGTTATATAAAAGACATGTTGAAAGTAACATTCTCTTTATATCTTTACCAAACTGTTTCATTATTTAAACAACAAATTACGATTGTTACGATTTGAGACTAACTGAAACCAACTACAGGAAAAAAAGCAGAAACTAAAATGAGATGAAATGAGGACTTATTAATTGAATGGAAATTACATTTTTGCACTTGATACCATTTTCAAGTGTCAGTGGCTTAATCTATACTCTGTAGAGGGTTTGCATGGCCGCCATCTTGCAGGCCAGTGCTTTTGTTCCACAGGGTGTGCACAAAGGAGGCTTCACTGTAAAATAAAAGCTTGCCCTGAAAGATAGCTACCACGCGAACCCTCTATTGTGCAGTATTGAACAATGTATATTAAGTTATGATAGTGCTGTTAATTAAATATTAGCCAGAGTGTGATGTTGTGTTGCACATTTTTATTCAAGAATGCATACATTTGTTGAAACAGAGTTCATTATGCAACTAAACACAAAATGTGATTTTTTTTCAGTAAATGACGCACATAGACCTTGCTGGATAATTGCTTTGTCTCTGTGGAACTCCCTTGTGCAACTGTTAAGTGAGTGTGGAAGTTTCCGACGATTTTTGATTTTTATTACGAATGCAAACATATTTGTATCTTGCATCTTATTCTGTTTTTGGCCCCACAAAGTAGTCCCCACTGCTGTGTTAGTGTGAACACAC